AGGTCAACCAGTAACCAAGCTAACACGGCCTTGACCAGAAACATTGCTCTAACACACTATCTCAAGCCACATGTCCATCTGAAATAAATCTGATGTAAAGCAAAAATACTCTGCATTAAAGCAAGATTATGTCATTTTTGAAATGAGAAAAACACATTCTACAAATTAGAAGGAGAATTCATAAGACAATTAAACGCACCCTTGCTCAGTTCAATACACTCAAGGGCTTTGCAACTACAGCCTTACTTGGTCTGTAGTAGCAGATCACCAGTAACCTAAATGGTGATTCATGTTAGCAAACTTTAGATATATATTACTCTATAACTGACTTCACTGAGTCAGTTCTTTGACCTTATGGCTCTTTTCTGCTTGTACTACCGTTAAACTACATTTTGGCTTTTACAATCATCCAGTAATTGTTGCTGTTGAGGCAAAGTTACATAGAATCACTGTAAATGGAGATAAAAAAGGTCTGCCCATTGTATTGGACTGTCCTGTTTGACTACACAGGTTCAATTTTGGTGACAAGAAGTGTTTTTTCTCTGCAGGTATTAACTTGCGTAAAAAAAATTTTTCATTAAATTTCAATTTCATATTTTGTTTTTACTTGCTTATTTTCTACATTAAGAAGTGACTTCAAATGCAGCTTCCTTTTCAGAGTTGGTGTTTTCAGACATTACACAGAAAAAAATACCTTTTCTGCATATGTGGATCAGGGATATTTCTTTTCAGCCATAATAAAATATGAAACTCATTTTTGATTGTCCCAAAAAACGTCTTAGTCTCTTATACTATTCTCTTCCCCTTCTAGCTAGCACAGCAGCTGTGTAGTATTATGAGTATTGTCCTTAAGGTAATGACCTGTACTCGATGTGCCATTGCTCTATATTTAGGAATTAAGATCAAAACCTTCTACCTTGGTTTCATCGGATCACAAGTTCCACTTCCTGTCATGAGAAAGAACCACATGCTTGCATAGTTAACGTGCTTTTTGGTGATAAGTATTCTTCATCGTGTTGCCCCTCAGCGTAGAAGTGTTCAGAACACATAAAACTCTTGCTAAGCGCATGTTGTGGATAGACTCTGCAATACAGTTATTTTTAGCCTGCTGTTGGCCTCTTGGTAGTTTTTCCTTTAGAGCTTCCTCTTTACATGACCATCCATCATAGAAAGATGACCTGATCTAGATACGATCCTGATGGTGCCATTATTCCTCAAAGTCTTCAAGTTTGTCTTCACTATGTTCAAGAAAAACACAGTAAATCTAATTTTAAATCAGTTTCCTAATTGGAATCTTTCAGTAGTAACATCTTTATTCTTTTTTCATTATGTTTTATAGCTCCAGCACTTCAGCTAAGTCTGATACCGGGTGAACTGTGTTTTTATTCTCTTGTAGTAACATTTTAAAAACATTGTGTTGACACTTTGACATTCACTGAAACTCTAGTTTCATACAATTTAATTAGAATCATTTCATTTAATTTAAGTAAAATTGGCTTACTTCTTGATTTCAAATGCAAATAACTGAATCTTAACACAACAACCTTTTATTAATGATGTATGCGTATACTTAAGCAAACCAAATATGGGTCCAGCCTTTTATGCTCAACTTTCTTTTACTGGTTACTTTAACGGACTGAACTGTGTCTGGAGTTTTGGTGACCATTCAGGAAACCAGCTCAGTAATTCCAGATTGTCTCAGAGGACTGGTAAATACAGGTGCAGAGCCTTTCAGACGCTGCAATCGAACGAGCTTTGCTGATCTGTCTGCAGCCTGACCTTCACTGGTGTCACATTCAGAGAGCGTTAAAAAGAAACACTTCACTGCTGCAGGTCCGGGCGACCCTTAAAGATGCCTGGAGAAGAGCTTACCACCATTCTAATAAGTTAAATGCAATGGGTGTTTACACAATATTTCTACCCTTAAAACTGGTAAAATTCATGCTCGGGATGTCACCTGATTGGACATCAGAATTAATGCTTTACATGATATGAGCACGTGCCACCTTGGTAAGAAAGAACCATAAGCAGAATCTAGAGGATTGAAGGATTTTGATCTTTGGACTTATTATATACTTTGGAAGTATTCTGCTGACTGAGGCCTTCAAGCAAGTCCCCACATCAAACAGAGAAGCTGAAAGAGAGAGGGAGGAATTCCATTAGAATGGCTTCCAGTTGCAATACTATGCTAATCCCAGGAAGAGATCATAATTTTCTATTTTATTTGTGGGTCATCCATACTGCAAGGTCAGACAGCGCCTGTGTCAGTCTGTCTCTCTCTGACAGCTGGTTACCTGACATCACCCACCCAGTCAGGCGGCCTTTAATACTTAATATCACTACGCTCACTCTCCTCTTTATTTTATTTCTTTTGCAAACCAAGACGTTACTTTCTCAATCAAACAACATCCAACTTCCTAATTATATGTTTCTCTCCACAGTTGCACCACAACAAAAAAAAGAAAGAAGCTGGCCATCATGGTACACGTAACATGGCTCCAAGGGGAGCCTTTGTGTTAAGCAAAGGGTTTGGTTTGTTCCTTCTGAAAAGGAGGACGGCTGCAACACAGCGCATTCAGTAGCAACATTTGACCTCTTTTGCACAGAAGATAATGACCAAGAAGACTAGGAGGAGACAAGAATTAATGGACATCTTCCATGTGGCCACTGTCTTCAGGTTGTCATGGTGAAAACTCACCATAAAAAGATAAATAAATAAAAAATCCAACTCCATTCAAAATGTAGCTCTTACAGTCTTTCACATCTCCTGCATTTACGTTTTAATCACGAGCCTTCAGAGATATTTATGTGACCTTCAAGCTTGAAATTTTCACAAAGCAGCAAAACAAGGGGCTGGTAAATCCCTCAGCTAAAGCCTGCTGGGTGTGAAGGTTAGATAATGAATACCCTTACATAGTCGCCCTCTTCATTGCTGTTAACCAAACCAAAAATGAATCTTTTCATCTAAGCCGATCGTTTTTTCTAGCCGCCGCGTGCCTGTTCAATGCAACAAAAAAAAAACATCACATAGAAAATGCCAGTAATAACACAAGTCAGAAACCAGGTAATCAAGTTGTTGAGGGAAGATAAGAGGTGCAAGCAAGCAGACATGCATGAGTTTTAGTTCTCTGGAAACCTACTGCTCAACCTCCCTTAGTATAGCCATCTCACTTGGCCGCTCTCTCTCTCTCTCTCTCTCTCTCTCTCTCTCTCTCTCTCTCTCGGGGCTGACAGAATTATCTTCTGGATCAGAGCTGAGGCTGGGCCAACGCTCCACACAGAGGACTCCATTTCACACAGCCAGCCCCACTGTGGCCAAGGAGACACAGCCAATCATGCTGGAGTGTCAGTGGCACGGCCATCCACCATTTTGTGCTCCTCAAGGTCTTTGACTGTCCTGCTCAGCTGAGTGGAGCTGCCTCTGCTTGCGCTCTGCTATCTTGTTACACAGATGGAAGTGTTTAACTTTAAGAGCACCGACCTGAGCGAGCAGCTTCCCCTCCTGTCTGTTCCTCTGCAGACTGTCATGGCAGTCAGCAAAAGCAGAAGTGAGATGTGTGGTTTTGTTCCCTGCGAAGATGGCCACCTCATGGGCGGCTCTGCTGTTCTTCACAAGCTGAAGGCAACGTCCTAAAGAGATCTGAGGAGTGCACGTCTAAATATGGAGCTTTCGATCACCCTGTTACACAAACCTTTAAGAAGATATGTGTAAGCTTCTGTAGATAACATTATCAAATACAGGTGACCCAAAAACATGTTTTAGTGCTTCCATGAGAGAGGTAAAAAAATTTTTTTTGCAGACTGAAAAGCATAAAAGATAAAACTCGGGGCAACCCTCAGCAACATGATTAAATATTCCATCCAAAATGATTAAGTGCACAATTTAATTAATTGCCTTGGGCGTGATTATTTTTGCAATTTTATATGGGAAGGAATAGGTAGATATATTTGGTTTTCTCAAGAGGTTTCTTCCCCCGAGCTTGAAGAGAGAAATTCTCAGAAAAAGAATTCCATCAAGTACAGTACACAAGTAGGCTACAGCAAGAAACAACATGAATTTGTTTGCAGCTTCACCCACAAAACTAAAGTCTAAACCATTTGTGATCACAGTCAGGCATTTGAGGCTGCTTCATTCAGATGTCCTGAAAGACACGGGTTCATGGGTTAAACAAACACCACTAAAGAGTCAGGAAAGTGAAGGATGTCCAAGGACAGATTTTGGAGAGAAACCAGGAAGTGTTTTTCCACCAAGACAATTACTCCAGGAAACCTTACATTCCACGCAGCCTTGTAGTCCATCTCTCCTAGGAAACTATTTCCTGACATAAATCAATCTGCTGCTGTCTCAAAAAAATATCTCAGACAACATATATGGATAGCTGGGAACAAACACAGACTAAGGTCAGTAAAGTATGCGATTTGTATGATGTTACTGTGATGTGACTCCCTTCTTACTATGATCAAAAGGAAAGGCTCTCATCGCGTCTCAATCAAAAGTCTGATTCCTGTTTTCCCTCTGTCTATTAAAATGTCTTCAGCGGTATCTAATTCTACCAATTCACCAAAAAAGAACAAAAAAGATTACAAGAAAAGGCTGTGAGATGCACTGAAAGGTTTCTTGTGAGTGGTGCTCAGTGGACAACTGCCAGAAAACACTGCAATGCTGACTTCCTTGTAAGCCTGACATGGCAGTTACTACAGTTACAGGGAGTGGGTGAGGTTACAAGCTAGTCAGGATGGAATATTTCAGAGTGACCAAAAGAGGACACGGGAAGCAGTAAAAAAAAAAAAAAAAAAAGAGGGGGGGGGGGGCTGAAAAGTCAAACTCAGTCTGGTTTACTTGCAGAAAAGTTGAAGGATAGACAATTTCTCTGGATAGCTTTTTTGAAGTTTATCTAAGAAGAGAAGAGGTGAGGTTCCTCTCCAGGTTCACCAAACCGACCTCTTGAGGCAACAAGTTTGAGAAGGGAAAGATGAGAGACCCATCAATATTAACTTACCAAACCTCCTTTCCAAGCTCTTAAATATTTAATCGTCCTTGGACAGCTCCGTTGCTTCGTAGGCTGAGCCAGTGTGGATCCCTTCTACAAGACCACTCCTGTTCCTGCTCAATGAAGGCCTTGTCTGGTGGCACCACACTGCCCAAGGAACGGGCGTCTCCAAAGAATTCAGGATTTTTTCCACCACAGGCAGTTCGAGGCTGACAGAGTTGGTTCACTGTGTCTTATTAGAGAAGGGCATAAATCCTGAATTCAGACTGGAAACCCGAGTATGCCGTGATGGCTTAATTTGTCCCGCTGGACAAACTGTCACATCGACCACTTTACACCAAAAGTCTTCACTTTCTATAAATCTTACCCCTGTGTGCTTCACATACGTGTGCTGAAAAGGCTAGCAAAGACAGGCTTAACTGTGAGCTATACTGACCTACAAGGAGGGGAATGGTGACAACTGAACTGTTGATGTTCTGAAGGAAAGCAGAGAGGAGAAACCAGTTCTGCAGCGGCGCAACGTGGCAACTGACAACAGAAACTGGAATGACACCTCTAGCAAGCCACTTCCTTGTTCCATTTAAACCCTAACATGATGTTGCTTTTTGGTTTTTCAACTGGGCCTATACCTAGTTACACAGCATTCAATTATTCATAGGATCCTGGCAGATTTTTACTGTAACAATGCCACGCTTTTACATCTAAATCAAACATCTAAATCAAGAAAGAAACATGTTTATGGTGTGAGGAAGGTCAGCAAAACGCAAGAGAAAGTAGTGAGGTTTTTGCTTTGCTGTAATGACTACTGTGTTTTGGATCTGGGGCCTGTGTGTTTCAGCACACTTACAAGTGTAGCAGCAGGGCCAGGCTGCATCTCATGAGCCATGCATCATGTCAAGAAAGCACTCACTGGAGCATTTCAATTTGCTTTTGTGCGTCTCCCTGGCCTTCTTCACTGCCCCAGGTAGAGAAGAATGGAGGAGTGCATCACCCAATGTGAGTGAGTGAATGAGAGAGAGGGAGGGAGAGCAGCTGTGTGTGTGTGTGTGTGTGTGTGTGTGCGTGTTTGTTTGCGTGTGCATGTGTGCAAGAGACACAGAAAGAGTATCAGAGTGAGTGATGAGCTTCACAGCCACTTCCTTCCAGCATTCAAACCATCACACAAGTCTCTCTTGTTTAATCCTCTGTCCTCTCTGTCGAGCTTTTTTAAGCATAATCCTGAAATACCTTGCAAAAATCCAGTTATGTAATTTTTTTTCTGAAAGTATCTACCATAGTTCAGTCCTGGCCCGTCACCTTAAAGCTGAAGCACAGCAACAATGTGTGCTAAATATTTTACATGGAGGTAAAAAGTCAACCAGTTTAATATGGATAGCCTTTGTAGCACTCCAAACATGATACAAATCTTAAGTCAGGCACATATTTGGACCATGAAGCTACAAGGGTAAAAATAAATATGAAGTTTAGATGTTCTGACAGCATCTTAGCACTGTGTGAATGCTGTGCGAATATTATCAATTGAGTATATTCAACAAATTACAACAACTTCAGAAATATGAAGCTGTTAGAGGAAGGGCCGGATAAACGCACAAAGGGGCCCCGGAGCAAAAATGAGCAGTGGGTCCCTGCTGAGCCCCCCACACACATATTGCCCCAGTGTGTCCTAGTAAGTCCTGGAAGCCAACCAGTCTCTACGCTGGAATACAACGCAGACCCAGGTTTTCTGTATGTCAGGTAATCTGTGATAAATTAATAAAACACACATTTGTTTCAAGATATGTACCATGTAAGCAGGTTATTAACCAAAATACTTAAAGTTATTTAAAAAATTCAAGTTAGTAGACTTGCAAATAATTATCATTTTCAGTATTGATTAATCTTTTTGTTTTAAAAATGTTTTTAAAAAAAGTAGAAAGTCCATGTCAGCATATTCATATGTCTTGTTTTGTCTGATTAACAGTTTAAAATCCAAAAGATATTCAATTTACCTACATACAATATGACAAAGAAAAGTAGCAAATCCTCACATTGAGGAAACTGCTTCACTATAACACAAACTAGTGGAAATGCTATACAGTCCTGACCCACACGACCTTAGCTGGTGAGGTGAACTGAAAACCTGAGCACACAGATTAGCTGCTGGTGTAGCATAAATAAGCTTTACAACTGGGAAGGAGTCAAGAATGTGTTGAAGACTTGCGAAAGTTACTACAGGAGCTCTAAGTGCAAAGAGACAGCACACACAGTGTCAGTATCCCCAAGACAATCTGTGTAGATTCCTCAAAAACATGTTTAAGAAAGAAAGAAACACCCCAGTTACATCGACAGTTAAATCACTGGGCTCATTTGCAGAACATCCACCATCCACCAGACTATAGCCTACACCCATCTGCGAAACAAATGTGTCGACCGCAGCAGATTCCTGCCCGGCCGTCCTCCTTGAGAACCTGTTTGCCCTGCCACGCCAGGGAGAAGGAGCATCGCCACCATTTTGATTGCTCTTCTCAGCCCCAGCATTGTCGCAGCACAGTGTGTCAAGCTCACAGTCTCCTTGTCAGCAAGATTTCACACAGTGGCCAGGGGAACTGCAGAGCACAGCCACACACACACACACACACACACACACACACTACAGCTGGCAAACACACCTCCTTCACTCTCCTGACAGACTAGTCAACAGACACATTTAGGATATAATGTGTGAAAAGTCAACAAGGGATATACTGTGGACACAGAGTGTGTTACAACATACAGCATGTTATCAGATGACCAACAACCTAATCCTTTAGCCCAAATAACTTTTAAAGTCATTATTCAATGCCTGAAAATAAATAAGTACAATCTTTCAATAACAGGCACATGTGTCGCCAAATAAACAGAAGGGGGTCCACCAGTCCCTTTGTAAATAATTAGTCTATAACTTAGGAGTAAGACAATAAACCAGAAGACTTTACTTTTGAATTTAGAGCCATCACAGAGCATGTAGATAACAGATAGAGGTCAAATATGTCCAAAAATTTATTCAAAACAAAAGCAGAGAATCATCTTGAGAACTTCCTTAAAGAAACTATCTGCAAAAGCCATTACTTCACTCCCACACACAGAGGGGAGAGAGAGAGAGAGAGAGAGAGAGAGAGAGAGAGAGAGAGAGACCACTTTGTTGAACATTAACTACCTGCATGGCCAAAACGCTGCATTATTCAGCATTAAAATTCCTATCTCATTCATGTGTCCCTCAGCCAATCACAGTCTCAAACACTGTAGGCCTAGCTGTCCTAAAGTGCCACCTGCAAATCTTTCAAAAATAAAATAAAATTAAATCCCACGTATTTACAAGTCCAAATTGTGTTTAATCGTGTAAATGAAAGCAGCAAGTTCATGGAGTTAAAACACTGAAGTTAACCTTGAAAGCCCCCACGACAGGATCTAACCTCACTTTTCAGAGTTCTTCTGCTTCCTCTAAACTTCCGAGCTGAAAACGCAGAAAAAAAGCAGCAAAAGAAGAGGAAGCAGAAGCAGCAGCAGCAGCAGCAGCAGCAGAAGAAGAACAAGAAGGTTGTGGCCGATTATTTTTTGAACACAACCTTTGTTCTGGCGTGAGGGATCCTGCCTGTCTGACTCCAGGGCTCTCCTTGGAGACTCATCTGCTTTCCTCCATTTTATGGTGAAGCCCTAGTATGACATACCTGACTTGAGACCAGTGACAGCAAACAGGCATCCAAAACAGTGCAGGGGACAAGCGGGTAACAATGTAGCATAAAGCACCAGGAACAAAAACAAAAACATTAGAATAAAAATATGTCAAAGCCACGCTGCGCTTACATTCATATATCACCACCATCAAGAGATATCTCGCTCCAACCCTGTGGAGAACCGAGTCAAAATCGCCACCAGATATGGTTTCTTTTTTAAAATTGAGAAGAGCAGGGGAGGAGGGGGGAACACATAAAGCCTCCTCACACTGGACATGGCTTTCATAGTGAGTGTGTGTGTGTGTGTGTGTGTGTGTGTGTGTGTGTGACTGGACCAGCGGCTATGCCAGCTCCTCTGTGTCGCTAATGGAGGCTGGTTGGGAGAGGAGAGCAATCCGTGCAATGGCTTCTCCATGAAGCTAACACGCAACAACACGCACGGCCGGAGAGGGGACGCACAGCCGGGGCCAGTAATTCCCCTGGCCAGACATGTCAGAATAACAAAACACTCCGCTCCGGTGCTGCCGAAACACGCAGGCGACCCCTCTTTACACCGCCGCGTCCATTTCCTTGTGTCACTTTGACAACAAGCCGACAGGCGACATAGCGAGGAAGCGGTAGGTTGGTAAGGATATTAACTGGGAAGCGAGAAGACCCACTTGACTTTGGCTGCATGGGTGCCAGCCGGAGCGCCCACCCGACTAAAATCTCGCCCCGTCTTCCTCTCACAAGTCTGCTGGACCTGGACTAAAATGAGGAAAGAGGGAGGGGGTCAGCTCTTTCCAGGTCATTCACGAGGCGCTCTCCAAATTATATCCCATGATCTACCATACCGACGTTCTCGCAGACCTTGAAAGCCCAGCCGAAATCTTGGCGAAACTGGAAATATAGTGCAAGATGGAAAAACTCACTGGTACAATCTTCTCCTCAAGCGATCCTCCCAAAAGTTGTCCTCGTATTTCATGCGTGCGCCCGGTCGGTCTAATGGATGATCGCCATCTTTCCTGCTTCTCCTTTGCTGCAGCTGCAGATGACCTGAGATCCGTCTGTCTCTGAATAATGAGCAACCACACAGACAAGGAAGACAATCTGCAAAGCAGGCTACACAAAGAAGTTTGGGAGACTAGCAAGCACCAGAGGGTGCACAAGAGTTTACGATGAGACGAGGGAGCATCAGCAGGATGGACAACGTCTATGTCTGAGAAGCTCATCCTTCATCTAGACTGAAGTCAGATAGCCTGCAAAGCCTTATCAGCGGCTCAGACCACCAACATGCGGGCAGTGTGAATTTTATATAGGCTTTCCATACCGTGTCTGCCACGTCATGGGGTTATCTGCAGTTCACTTTGGCGGCGATGATGCTGCTTCACACTTCAACAAGATAGACAAACAGATAGAGACACATATATATATATATATATATATATATATATATATATATATATAGATAGATATATAAATTCAAAGTTGACACACATCCCAAATGTATATAATAAATATATCAAAATATATTAATTATAAAATATTTAAATACATAAAAAAAAACACCACTCACATTCAACACTGCCTCCATCCATTGATCAGCCCCACCCCCCAAAAAAGGAGATTTATCATTTTAATTCAAATAAAACCAAAACAATAAACATTTTACATAAGAGTGTTAATTCATC